TTGATACCTACTACTACCACCTCTCGCAATAATCCCCCTACCCTGCACTCCCCTTCCCTTCCCTTTCACACGCATATAAGAATGTGGGTGTCCTAAAATATACGTTCTTTATGGGACTTAACCGCAAAAAAAAAAAAAAAAAAAAAAAAATACAACGCAATGATAATAATGATAAAAATTTTAAACATCGAACGTAATGTTGGTAAAACTTTTTGTTTAAAAAAAACATTTACCTTTTATTACGTAAGTAACAACATTTCGTAACCGAAAAAAAATTTTTTTTTTTTTTCTACATTTGCCCCCCGTACTAAACTAAAGCGACACTTTTATTTACACTTATTATTAATCCGCGAGTTGTAACGTACTTTGTAAACACAAACAAACACGCGCACTCACTCACTCACACAAACACAAACGCGAAATTTTAAATGTAAATAAATAAATAAATAAATAATTAATTATTTTTCGTTCATTTCTTCTCGTTTTTTTTTTTCTTTTTCTCAATCGATTGAAAACTTTAGTAAAAGTAAGATTTTCTCTTTGGCATAACAAAATATCTGGTTTGTATATTGCATCATTAAAAAAAAAAATTTTTTTTTTTTTTCTTTTCTTTCCGCGAGACAGCTTATATCTACGCGTACAAGCAAAACCAGTTGAAAGGTGTCTCTCTCTCTCTCTCTCTCCCCCCTCCCTCCTTCACTCCCTTACCGATTTCTTTTTTTTTTTTTTTAAATAATTTAAAATAATTTTTAAATAAAAAGTAAAAAAAGAAAAAACGCGAAAAAAAAAATTATCGACACTTGAGGCCTAAATGTTTTTCCCTTTGTTTTCGTTTCTCTGTCTTTTCCACTCGCCCAATTTTGATTCATTGTTTTATTATTATTATTATTATTATTATTATTATTTTTTTACGTAAAACAAATAGAAAGGACCCAAATACAAACAAAAAGCGAATAGGTGGTGTATTTGACCGTGAAATTTTTTGCATTAAATGACTAAACATTCTTTTACATTTAAAATTTAATAAAACGAAAACGAAGCACAAAAAAAAATATACAAACAAAATTTAACGACTTTTTTTTCTTCTTTTTTTTTCCTTTTTTTTCTTTTTTCCTTTTTTGTTAATTTTTTATTTCATTTTTTTACATAAGAAAAGAATTTAAAAAAAATTTTTTTCCAAAATACGGGAATTTTTATTTAAAAAAAAAAAAGAAAACAATCGGGTTTTTTTTTTTTTTTTTTTTTTTTAAAATCCCGTTTGTATTTAATTATTAATATATATATATTTTAAATTTAAAAAAAAAAAATTTATTATTATTATAATCCGAATAGAATTTTTCCCCGGGAGTGAATCGCAAAATAAAAAAAAAAAAAAAAAAAAAAAAAAAAAACTCAACAGGTAAGTTTGCTTCCTTGTTTAAAAAAAAACGTAATCGACAAAATATTTTAATTTTTTAAAAACTTGATTTCATTGAGTAATCATCCCTCCAATTTTCTACACCACTTTTTAATAAAAATGTATATAAAAACAAATCCATTACACTTCCCCCCCTACCCTCGGGGTCAAATATTAGTCTAAATATTTTTCCAAATCTTGTAAGTTTCAGACGAAAAAAAAATAAATAAAAATAAAAATTATGGACTATTTTCCTCAATAATACTGATAACTATAACAAAAGCAACAACAACAACAGTTCGATTCGATACAACAACCACAACAACAACAACAACAGTTTGATTCGATACAACAATCACAACAACAACAACAACAACAGTTCGATTCGATACAACAACAACAACAACAACAACAGTTCGATTCGACCCAACAACAACAACAGTTCGATTCGACCCAACAACAACAACAGTTCGATTCGACCCAACAACCACAACAACAACAGTTCGATTCGACCCAACAACAACAACAACAGCAATATACTACAATATTCGGATTAAAGCCCTTGATTAAAAAAATTTGAAATATACTTTTCCACATAATTTTTACTCTACAAAACAAAATTTAACTCTTGTACGAAATCCATCCATCCATCCATCCATCCATCCATGCTTTGAAATGACGACATAAATTCATGAAATCCGTTACATAAGTCACCGCTAATTAATAATTATTTATTTTCTATTCACAATTTTTTTTTTTCTTTTCAAAATTGCACACGCATAATTATAATTGGAGTTCCCCGGGGGGCATAAATATTGCAAATATTCACGAAAGAACACGCCATACACCACCTTATATACTTTTACCCTCGTTTTTTTTTTTTAATTACAATCTCTTCACACACGTACGCACACGCACACACACACACACACGCGTACTCTCGCTTACACCTACGATTTTCATATGTAAATAAATATACACGCGTACAACAAGGGTAAATACAAAAATGCATCATTATTATTATTATTTTTATTCAAATATCATCGTCGTCGTATAAAAACAATAAAAAAAAAAAAAAAAAAAAAAAAAAAACGAATAGTAATAATAATAATAATAATAATAATATTATAATGACTATGATTCAGTTAAACGAGAACATGGAAGATTACAGAACACAGAATCAAGTCGTTATAAACGATTATTTTAATAAATAACTTCGTGAAAGCAAGATAACGGTTTTGCCGTTATCGAAATCCCCCACCACCACCAGGGTAGTAGGTACCGTTCGTTTTGTGTCGTTCATTCAAATTTTATATTTTAAAAAAAATATGAAAAAAATGTGAAAAATTAAAATTAAAATAACTTAATGAAAGCACACTCACACACACACACACACACACACCGAGGTGGGGGGGGTGAGGGGGGATTGGGCTGGTGTGAAAATGGCTTTTCTTGCTTGTCATGACCTGAACACCAAGGAAACTAATGAAATTGTTTCAGCTTAGTAAGAGGTAAATATCTAATAAAGTACCCAATGAGCACCTGAGGTCATTCAATACCTGTTTTACTGCAGTATTTTTCAGTGAAGGAAACACAACTAAATATATATATATGCTACTCGCTACTACAACAACAACAACTACTACTACTAATAATAATAATGATAATGATAATAATAATAATTTCTTTCTTTTTTTTTTTTTATTTAAACTCGTATATTAATCACCTTTCGTTATGATTTTCTTTTTCTCCTCTCTCTATCGAATTTAAAAAAAAAATTTATTTTTTGTAACAAAAGCAATTTCATTCGTTGTTATTTTCATTATTTATTATTGTTTTTTTCCCAATTATGTTTAAAAAAAATTAAATAATTTAAATTAAAAATTATTGAATTATTTATATCCCAATATGTTTAGTTTAAAATTAATAAATTTTTTTCCTAATTACTTTACGACTAAAAAAAAAAAATTTTGCATGATTAATTTTATTTGTTATTAAAAAAAAAAAAAAAAGAATAAAAATAGATTCAGTAGTAGAAAAAAAAAAAAAAAAAAAAAAAGAAAAAAGAAAAATTAGTAGGGTTAAGCAATAGCATGCAATCGAATGAATCATTTTCACTGGAATCACTTTTTATTAGTTTTGCCTATTTTTTTGTGTAAGGGGTCCTGATATAATTAAATTAATTAGTTATTAAAACATAATTTAAAAATATTAATAAAACAATTACATAATGAATTGCAAAACAAAGAAAAAAATGCCAAGAGGCACCTTTGTCTCATATGCATTACTTACAATTCACATAACTTGTTACAAAGGTCCACTTAAACCAATCCATCTCACACAACCTTGAGTGTAATTGGATTCCAGTATTTTAGAAAAAAATTTTTTTTTTTTTTTTTTTTTAATCTTAACAATATTTTATTTACTTTTTTTAAAAAAATAAAATAAAATAAAATAAAAACGTCGAAATGAAAAAAAAGAATTTTTTCTTATTCAATCGAAAACTTTGTAAATTAAACAAAATTCCATTTCTAAACATCAAAGTCAAGGACATTGACTTCAAATAAAAAAATTAACACCTGAGACATGGCCCACAATTGAAATAATATTTTAAATAATGTGTTTTTGTTTCAAATAAAAATTTTTGCGTATTATTAAGGAGAACGTAAAACGTATATGAAAAAATTACTTACCATTTCCAAAAAAATTCATTAACATAAAGTAATTTTTATCAAAATATTTTAACATTTCACAATTCCATTCACTAAGAACCGAACGTCACAACACAAAGACGCCATTACTCAATGTTTTTAGTTCAGTTTAAAATCGACAGGTTGCGCTATTTAACCGTGAGTTAAAATTTTTTTTTTTTTTTTTTTTTTTTTTTTGTTTCAATAATTTAAAACAAAAGAAAAATCAAAACTTTTTTTTTTTTTAAACTTTGTTTTGTAATAATCTTAAATCATTTTAATCATAATATAATCATAAAATAAACTTCACCTAGAATTATTTCGTTTGTTTGTTTGTTTGTTTTTTTTTTAAATCTAAAACAACATGTAAAATGGCGCCAATAATTTTTTAAATTATCATTTGTTTAATTAAATAATTTCACATTTAAATTAAATTTTTGTAATACTAAATAAAAAAATAACAATTAGTAAAACAATAAACTTATTGAATTTATTTAAATCGTTTGATTAATATTTAAAAATTTGCAAAAAAAAAAAATAATAATAATAATCATGTTAAATAAAAATGATCAAAAATTTATTTTTCATTATCATTCATAACAAATATTGACAAATTTAAAAAAGAAAAAATGTAAGAAAATGTGATGTGAAATCATGTAAATTAATTATTCACAATAAAAAATATTATAAGTTATTATGACACTTAAAAAAAAAAAACTTTTTTAAATATATTTCATTGATTTATATATATTAAAATTACAAAAAAAAAATATGAGAAAAATTTATAAATATGATCTTAAAATAAATAAAATATATTAAAAATTTTATTTGAGATCATAAAACAATAGTAAAAAAAAAAAAACAGTCTTTTACTCATAATCAATAACGTTAATGATAATAAAAAGAAAGAAAATTTATTTTCTAACGGTTAAATCCAATGGGAAATCTTGTTCTTGTAAATAAAAAAAATGATTATTATTATCTTTTATTGTTAATTCATTTGAATTTGCAAATGTTTTAAAAACGCTTTCGGATTTCAACCATTTTTTTAATACGTTAAACGTAAAACTATTTGTATTGTTATCAAAATGATAAGTACTTTTTAAAGGAGTTAAAGAATCAAATGAATTATTAATAATGGCGTCTTCGTTGTTGTTGTTGTTGTTATTAATTGACGATCTCAATTCATTTTCGACATCTAATTTTAAATCTTCTATATTTCTTCTCGATGAATTTTCATCGATTTGTTGTATGAAATTCGTCGGAAAATGCCTGTAGGTTTTAACGTGTTTTCTCAATGAACTTGGATCCGTGTACCTTTTACCACAATTAGGTATTTTACAAACGTAAGGTTTATGCACCGAATGAGTTCTGGTATGTTTAAATCTATCGCTCGAATTCGAATATGCTTTTCCACAGCCTGGCACCGAACAAACGTAGGGTCTTTCACCTGTTTAAATAATATAAACAAAAATTATATTAAAAAATGATAATAATAATAAAATAGGATAAAAATGAATATATGTGATACCTGTGTGAGATCTCGCATGGATTTTTAAATTTTCCGCTCTGCTAAAACTTTTATTACATTTTGGACATTTATGCGGTTTTTCATTTGTATGCGTTCTTACGTGTACCAACATTTTGTACCTTTATTATTATTATTATTATTATTAAATTAAAGATAATGTTATATGTGACACACATTATAAATTATTTAAATATTGTAGGATTTATGTATTCATTTCATAATCACCTGGCATTAAATCCTTTATCTCCTCTGGTACATCCATCCCAACGACAGTAAAATAAACCTCCTGGTCCAGAACTTGAATGAAATGTTGAAACGTGAGATGCTAAATCATCAAGATAAGAAAATAATTTTCCACAATTTAACCATTTACATTTGATTGTTGTTGGTGTTTGTGATGATGGTTTTGGTGCCACAGGATTTGGTATTAATAAATTCACATTATATTCTAATCCCTGTAACAAAAAACAAAAAATTATTATTATTATTATTACCATACGTTTATTCCTCAACATCATTATTGTGTATCGTCACCTGTAATTAATTAAATAATAAATAAATAAATAAATATTATTATTAATGATGATCTTACTTTTGAATTAAATGTATTATTTTCACATAAATCCGAAAACACAAATAAATTATTACCGAATTTTCTAGAATGCATAATTATTGGAATATACGATGTGACACTTTTCATTTTTTATTATTATTATTATTATTAAATAAATTCACAAATTTTTTAATTTTTAAATTATTAATATTAATAATGATAATAATCACCGCATAATATTTTTTTTTTTAAATGATTGAGATGAACACTCGACAAACGACGAACAACGACAAACAACAACGAAAAAAATTTAAGAATCGACTGATGAAAATTAAAAACAATAAAATAAATAAATAAATAAATAAATTTTCTTATCTATAAAAAAAAAAAAAAAGATACATAATAAATTGGGTCTTGCATTTTTGCTGCCAATCAAAAAACATTATTATTATTATTATTATTATTTTTTAATTGGTAGTAGTAATAAATAAGTACAGATAGATTTTATTAAATATTTAAATACATTTTAAATAAATTATTTTATTTTTTTTTTTTGGTTAATAATAAAAATAAATAAATAAATATATACGTTACCGTTTGTACATCCGAATCTTTTTGCATTTTTATTAATTAAATTAAATAAATTTTTGTCATAAATTTTTTAACATATTTACACATCCACCCCCCCAAATCGTCTGCAACCACGTTTTATTTAAATAAAATAAATAAATAAATAAATAAAAACAAACTTTTTTTTTTTTTTTAATACTGAAATTGTAACCGTTTGATAAAAAAAAAAAAAATCTATTTATTAAATCATTATAAAATAAATAAATAAATACATAATAAGGTGTAGTTTAAGTGTTTGTTTTGTGTTTGTATGTTTTTTTTTTTTTTTTTTTTGTGTGTCGGTAAAAACTGGGGGGACCCCCTAGTAGATGGCCTCATGCTTTGCCTTAGCCCCATGCAATGAAAAACCCCATTTTAACTTTTTTGTTTTTTTAAATTTTATTATTATTTTTCTTATTATTATTATTATTATTATTATTATTTTAAAAATACGTGCACAAAATTATACATAATAATAATAATAATGATAATAATGGTAATTATAACGATAATAAATGAATTTAATTCTTTAACTGTTGCCAATAAATAAAAAAAATTGTTTAAATAATAATAATAATAATGAATTAAATATTGTTTTTATATATAATATAATATAAATAATATATTTTTATTAAAAAATATTTTTCGTATTCTTTTCTGAATAAATAAATTACGTGACGGTTACAGAGTATTCAATTTTTATCATATTAAATTATTAATAAAAGTCTTAACCTTTTACCCTTTTAGTTTTTTTTTTTTTTTTTTTATTAAAACCGGTTATAATAATCATAATAACACATTAAAAAAAAAAAAAAAAATTTTTTTTCTTAATAATGATTGGTTAAAAATTTTAAATTTTTTTAAAATTAAATATTGAGGCTTATTCGTTTTTTAATAAATTTTTTTTTTTTAAATTTGATTCGAATCTTTTATGTTTACCAATTAAACCTTTTTTTTGTAAAAAAAGAATAAAAAAAAAATTATTTATAAAAAAAAAAAAATCCTGCGAAATCAAAAATTATTATTATTTATATAAAAACCTAATCGTTGACCCATCGTTATTAATTATTTAATAATAATAATAATAATAATAATAATAATAATAAACACACAGACAGCAAAAAAAATTATTATGTAAGATATATAAACTAATAGATATTTGGGTAATACCAAAAAAAAAAAAAAAGTTTTTCTTCTAAATTTTTAGGGATCCAAATATGTCTTGATAACAATAATTAATAGTCTAAAAATATGTAACAAAGTTAATAGTTTTCTCATTAAAATAAATAAGTGTGTGTGTGTGTAAAGTTATATATTTACAGTAATTTATTTAAAAAAAAAAAAAAAAAAGGTTTTGTAATGATAAACCTTGTGGGGGGAAATGAACCAGTAACAGTTATCATTTAAATTTTAAAACCAGTTGTTGGGTCAAATAAGTCACATAATCAGGCTTATAACTAACTATTTTCATTTTTTTCTAATTTTTCTAATTTATTAAAGTTTATGTGTTATGTTTATGTATCAGAAATGCATTAATAAATTTTTTTAAATAATATTGATAATAAGTATTGGTAATAATTATTACTTATTAAAATAAAATCAATGAACATGAGTTTGTTATAACATTTATAAAATTTGGGTGTCACATTATTGTTTTTTTTTTTTTGGGGGGGGGGTAAATTGATTAAAAGTTTTCATGAGAAAATTAATGATAAAAAAAAATAAACAACACGTGTGATAATATCATTAACGTTTTAAAAAAAAAGTTTTTGTTTTTACTGATACACAAATAAAAATTTAAAAAAAAGGTCGAAGATATGTCGTTTTAAGATCATGTGTGACAGGGGGCCTCCCGTGAATCAAAGAGTTTTAATTATAACTGGAATAAACTGGTTATTTTTTTTTTTTTTTTGTTAATCACATGTTTAAAAAATATATTTATTATCAAGTAAATTATTATTATTTGTTTTTATTTAATATAGTAGGATCACTGCATTTTAATTTTTTTTTACGAGTTTTGATTTTTTATTCAAAAAAAATAAATAAAAAGGTCAAACGATCGTTTATCATTAACAAAAAAAATATTTTAATGCATTTTTTCATTTGTGGGCCACACATTCATACTACAATATACCCCAATCGAATATGTTTCTACATTAACTAAAAATATAATTAAACTAACATGTTTTTTTTACTCTTAAAATCATTATTATTAAATAAATTACATAAAATTTTATTGCAAGTATTTTTTACATATAAAACAAAGAAATTGTGCGTTTATTTTATTTTGCTTTCCATTACATGAATTCATTTCGAACACGAAATTTATCAAAACGAAATCAAATTTAAATCAAACGTTTTATAAAATTACAAATATATAAACATTATAATTTTATTAAATAATTAGTTAATGTAAAAACATTTTAATTATTTTTTAAATTGATATATATATATATTAAAACAAAATCTAATAAAATGTGTTAAACGTACCTTTTCGGCTTGTGTAACGGAAAAGAGAACGTTACGTTTTTGCTGGGGTTTAAATTATACGATTCACGAATGTTTGACGACCGCAAAAAGTAATTTTAAAAACAATTATTAGTCAAGTATGATATCAATAATTAATTTTATTTAACAAAATTTATTTATTATTATCGTTTTATTAAAATAATTAAATTAATAAATAATTATGGAAGTTAAAGAAAGAATTTGGAGTGATAAAAAAAAGTCAGTTTAATATTAATTTCATTTAAAAATTTACATTTAAAATTTAATCACGAAACGTTTATCCGATTATTTTGTACTTGATGAATATGAATTTAATTGATGTTTGTTTAAAATAAATACATATTTAGAAATTTTTTCTTTTATAGGGAACTTAATGTACAAAATGCTAGATGTCAAAAATGTTTAGAATTAGGACATTGGACGTATCAGTGTAAAGGAAAAAGAAAAACTTTGCATCAAATTAGTAGAACGACGTTATTGAAAAAAAGGCTGAAAGCATACGAAGAAGAAAATCAAAAAAAATTAATGTATGCTTAATTATTAAAAGAAGCAGTTTGTCACATATGTTTTTTCTTTTTATATAAATTTACTTACTTGAAATATCTTTTTTTTTATAGGCAAGCAGAAAAACAAAAAACTGATGTCAATTCTAAAAGTAAACCTTCGAAAAAAGACATTAGTGCAGGAGATAATAATAGTGATGATAGTACTGAATCTGATAGTGAAAGTGATTCCGATTCGAGTTCATCTTCTAGTGATTCCTCTAGTTCTTCAATTAGCAGTTCTTCAAGTTCTTCAGATTCTAGTTCTAGTAGTAGTAGTTCCTCATCTGAATCAGAAGATTCATCAGGCGATACAAAGTGAAATTATTTTTTACATTTATACAAAAAAAAAACTTTGTTTACAAATTCATCGATTGCAAATAAGAATTTAAAAAATCTTTTTTAAAACATTGAAAAATTGTTTCATTTGATAAAACTATTTATCAATAATTTTATTTTTATTTTCATTACACTTTAAATAATTTAGTTAGTTTAATATTTTCAGTTGTGAAGTTTAAAAAATTTTTATATAACTTTATCATATTTTACTTATCGAATTGAAAAAAATTTTTTTTTTCTTTTTTGTAACATCATAAATGAAATTGTTTTCTTTTATTTATTTACCTAATTTTTTTCTTTTTTTTTAAGATACTAATTAGTATTTATAATAACTGCCATAAATTTAAATAAATATTTTTAAAAAGTTTTTTCGTTTTTTTTTATAATCGAAACAGATTTTTTTTATTTATTTATTAAATAAAGTCAATTTTTATTCAAAATTTTTAAATTTTTTCAAGTTTTATATCATGAAAAAAATAAAATGCCTTCCTCACAGCATCCAATAGTATTTAGTACTATTTGGAAAAAATAATTTCGATTAAACTTAAAGTGAAATTGTGTACAGTAAATGATCGATTGAAAAAGAATATTACCTCGAATAAATTTCTATTCGAAAAAATTATAATAAATTCATTCTGTTTATATGTAAATAACTTATTTTCGTCATTTACATTATTTAATTTAATTGTTTGTACTCAATAATTAAAAATAAATCAAAATTACTTAAACATATAAACATTTAAATTTCAATTTCCTTACATATCGATTGATGTTCACCATCAATTTATAAATATTATACGTACATGATAATGAATATTATTAATATTTGTGCAAAAGTTTAATTAAAAATTCATTAAAAAAAAAAAAAAATTACAGAATATTATTATTATTATTATTATCATGATTTTTAAATAATAACTTAAGTTATAAGAATCAAATTTTTTTTTTATTTATAATTTAACCCTTAATTTATTTTTCCTTAATGCTAATTTTTATAGTAAATGCTTAAATCAATGCCACCTTTGGTTTGAAAAATAACAATATGAATTACAGCAAACAAAAAAAAAAAAAAAAATTACATTAATGTGATTATTAAATAAATATTTTAATTTTATATTATTATTATTATTACTTTTACCCTATATCTTATAAGTTTTAAAAGTATTGAAAATAAAAAAAAATACTCGCTCACTTTCTTTTGTTTTTTTTATGATTTTTAATTATATCACTGGGATAAATAGTTAATTTTATGCTCATAATAAAAATAATAAAAAAAAATTAAACTTCTAAGCTAAATAAGCTGTAATCAAATTTAAAATGCAAATTCATTTTAAAATAATTTTATTATTATTTTTTTTTTTTTAAATTTAATCAAATAATTTTGATCGAATAAAGTTCAAATATTTTATGCGGTTTATGTGAAAAAAAAAAAAAAAAACTTAATTCGTTTTAATTAATTTCGTTCACAAATGTTATGAAAAAAAAAAAAAAAAGAAAGAAAAATGAAAAAAATATATTTATAAGTTTTTTTTGATGATTTAACTTTTTTTTTTTTTTTTTTTTATTCAATTAATATTTACTTAAATAAGAAATTTAAATTTTTCTACACATAATGTTTTAATCTTCTTTACTCAAAGCCTGTAATCTTTCAAGTAAAGGAGGATGAGAATGATGCCATTTAGAATACCAAGGATCATAAATTGGAAATCCTAAATTATCCGAATTTAATTTGATTAATGCATTTTTTAAAGCATTTGAATGACCCAATTTTTTAGCAAAATTATCCGCTTCAAATTCAAAATGACGACTCAATATGGCTACGCAAAAGTTAAGTATTTCAAAGTAGGGAAGGCAAACAAATTGCAAAACAATAATTAAACCGATTAGTACAGGTTCACATTCGTCGAATCCGAAAGCTGAATATAATGCACTAAATTCGAAAAGTTTTCCAAACACAATAAAAACCAAAAGCAAGTTGGCCTATTAAAAATATAAATAAAAATTATTAAATTAATACTTCTGAAAAGGTACAATTAAGTATTGTGAAAAATATTTTTAATAATTACCTGAACAATAGCTAAATTTTTAAGTACATGATTGTATTTCCAATGACCGAGTTCATGAGCTAAAACTGCTATAATTTCTTTTGTGTCGCAACCTTTTTTTTCTTTATTGCTTGAGCCACCACCACCGCCACCGCCACGGCCGCCGCCGCCTCCTCCTCCTCCTCCTCCTGATTTTTCTGGTACAACCTTTTCTTTTATTTCTGACTTTTTATGAGCTACAAACGTTGCACGCTTCTTGTCTTTGTCGTCTTTATCATCTTTTTGTTCAATACCTTTTTGTTCGATACCTTTTTGTTCGATGCCTTTTTGTTCTGTAGAAGTACCTACTGGTACTGGGGTCTCATTAAACTCTTCAATAGGTATATTTTCTTTTAGCAATGTGTCAAATAAAACAATTCTTTTGTTTTTAAAAAATCCATAAAAATACGCATTGCTGTGAGCAGATCTCTTTGACCCTTCGACTACATACAATTTATAAAGGGGAAAATGCACACTCCTAGTAAGATTTTCAATTTCATCTCTTAATTCTCCTTCGGGAAGCAAAGTATATTTGTCAAATAATGGAGCTATGTAATCAGGGTATATTGTGAATAGGAATAATGTGATTGCCATGACGAAAAACCAAAGGTAAATGAAAAAAAAATCACCGCCAATTTTAACAATGAAAACAATGCCCGATACCAATGGCACGATAATAATTTGATTTAAAATAAATATTTTCGCTTTGTCTTTGGCATAAAATGAAGGAGTCTGAAAAAAAAAAAAAAACAAACAAAAAAATTTATATAAAATTAAATTTAAATAAATATTTTCAAAGAAATAAATTTTTTAAATTTAAAAGCAAACTCACCTGCTTGTTAAATCCATGTTTTTCTTCGATAACAAAAGTGTAATAAATATTTGATGGTAAGCTAGTTATTGTTGCTAAAATATTAAATAGTACACATGAAACTGCACTATGAACTATTTCATTGTCATCTACGCCAAATAAAGTACTCGATATATGTTCTCCAGTACTCCAAACTATAAACAATCCATTTGAAAACAAGAAAACCAATATAAGACATAATGATATTACATCATTGACCATATTAAATTTACTTTTATCAATGGCATAGAGACGAGCTTTATCAAATGTATTTTGAGATAAAATCCCATGCAATTCGCGGGGTATGAGATCATGCATTTTGTATACATTATGCTAAAAAAAAAAAAAAAATATACGAAAAATATTAATATAAAATAATTACCCACGCTTTTTTTCTATATATATATAAATCAATCTTTCTAAACAAACCTGTCTAAGAGATAAATAAAATTCCCATAAAAACTCAGAAATCATAAACATAACGACTCCATAAAAAATTAAGTCATTAGTAAATTCCATTTTATTAAAATTTGGAACGTCCGGCTTTTCGTGAAAGAATAGTGCTTTTAGAAAAAATAAACACAGAATTTCGGGATTTAACAGTCATAGAGAAACAACACCTGTCATTAAAAAAAAAGAACAATACTTATTTTAAATTGGTACTAAAGAAATTGCTTTTGTAAATCAAAAAAAAAAATAGAAAAATCAATTGAACAATAAATATTACTGTTTCACTTTAATTTTTCTCTCATGTTATCAAAACTATATTCATCCGATCTCGCGGCAAAATAATTGACTGGTAATTAAACTTTAAAAAAAAAAAAAAAAATTTCGAAAAAAGAATAGCGATTTAAATGAAAAATATATATATATTATATTAAGAATAAACAATTAATTTAATATATAACGATTAAAGAAAAAGATTACGATTAAATTAATTAATAAGTAAATATAAATATATATAATTAAAATGCCTAACCTCAAATGTTAAAACGCTTTTGAAAAAAATACACATGCAACACTGTTTATTAAGCTATGTCCAGCTTAGTATAGCGGCGTCGGGATTTTTATTTATTTGTGCGGTAAGTTTTCATAAAATGAAAAATTAATCATATAACTGTCGTTATATTAGAAAATAGTTAATTTAAAATAATTTATAAATTCCCGTCATTTTTAAATTTAAAGTCTTGCGTAATAGAAATAAATTTATGACCTTGAATTCTTTTCGTCAAACTTAAATAAAAATGTCGGGGTTTTGTTTGATATAATAAAAATAAACTTCTACTGTCATAATTATTTTTTTTTTTTGTTATACTTCGACGTAAGCCAATCAATAATTTAATGAAAAAATAATAATTTTTATTCAAAAACCCTAAATTTTTTTTTTTTTTTAATTAAAATTAAAATTAAAAGAAAAAATTTTATTATTATTCTAGAACTCATTAATAATAAATAAAAAATGAAAAAAAAACAAATTTTAATGGTATATATTCGTGTTTGAATGCAATTATATACTATTTATACTACACATATATGTGTACATGTAATACTAGATGAATTATTTAAAAGCACGATTATTTATCAATAAATATGTTAGTTAACCCAGTACTTTGTTTTTAGATGGGAAATCAGTAAAAAATGACATCTACTGTTCCTCAACCAAAATTAAAAACAGGAAGAGGAAGACCTCCTAAAATAAGAGTTCCCTGTTGTACCTGGTGCAGAGAACCTAAACAAGTATTAAAATATGTTTTACCAACATGTCATGGTAAAAAAGAATTTTGTTCGGAATCATGTTTGTGTGAATTTAGAAAAGAATATCTCAAAGGTGCATGTGCAAATTGTGATAACATCTTTAAAGGACTTCCTGTCAGTTTAGAAGTTCATGGTTCTGCGACGAAAAATTTTTGCAGTGCACTATGCTTAAATAAATATCAAAAAAAAGTAATGATATCGGAGCAAAAAAGAGCAGATGTCGATAATTATAATGATTCAAACAAAACAGAATTTTTTACTCCTTTCGAATGGGATGCTTATTTAAAAGAAACAAATAGTGAGGCTGCACCTCCTGAATGTTATAAACAACACTTAGATCCTCCTGTTAATGATTTTAAACCGGGAATGAAATTAGAAGCACTCGATCCGAGAAATGTTACCTCGACATGTATTGCAACTGTTATTGCTACCCTAGGGCCAAGACTTAGACTAAGATTAGATGGAAGTGATAATAAAAATGACTTTTGGAGATTAGTCGATTCTTGTGAAATTCATCCTATCGGTTACTGTGAAAAACATAACGGCATGCTTCAACCTCCTTTAGGTTTGTTCTAAATTGTTAGTAGCTTTTAATATATGTAATTTTATAAAGACATTAATTTTTATTTTACCTAACAGGTTTTCGTATGAATGCTTCATCGTGGCCAATGTTTCTTTTAAAAACTTTAACTGGAGCTGAAATGGCTCCATCGAAAATTTTCAAAAAAGAACCATTAACTCCTCCTGCTAATTTATTCGAAGTAGGAATGAAAATAGAGGCTGTCGACAAAAAAAATCCACATCTTATATGTGCTGCTACAATTGGTGCTGTTAAAGATGAAATGATTCATGTGACTTTCGATGGTTGGAGAGGAGCTTTTGATTATTGGTGCCGTTATGATTCTAGAGATATTTTTCCTGTTGGTTGGTGTGCTAAAAGTGGGCATCCGCTACAACCTCCAGGTCAAAAATGTAAGATGTGTAAATTATATATATATTAGTTGAAAAATTAGTTACTAGTTAGTTAGTTACTATTAGTTAGTTAGTATATTAATTTTAGTAAAACATTTAATCTAACTAAATTTTTTTTTTTTTGTTTTAAATTTAGTTACTCAAGGTTCTAAAAGATTTAATTCTAGAGTTTGTAATGTTTTACCGATAGCGGGTCCCAGTTCAGTAGATAATTTTGATGCTAACGTTATATCAACAAACGTTTCATCGAAAAAATGTGAGCCCGAACCCGTTACGTCAAGTGTACAGAAACATTCCTCGAATATTTGCGATGTAATTAATAATTCATGTAGGTTTTAAATATATATATTATTAACCGACATGGTTTTTATTATTATTATTATTATTAATTACGACTTACGATTAAATTCGAAAATTAAATCATTTTACAGTAGATCCCGTTGAGAATTCTAGTACAAAAACAAGTTGGTCCCTGGGTGATGAATCGAAAGAAGAAGAAGAAGAAGAAAGCGAAGAGCAACAAATAAAAAGAGAAAATCCAACATCTCCGACAAGCGATTCGAATTCACCTCCCGAATTAGAAATTAAACGTCCTAGATTAACAGTTCCTGCCGAAATGGAAGCAGCCACATCGACGACACAATCGGAAAGTCCACCGAAACTACCACCGGATCCATCTGATTGGTCGATTGATGACGTCATTCAACACATAGCCTTTACTGATCCAGCCCTTGGTACTCATGCAGATTTATTTAGGAAACATGTAATGCTTATTATTATCATTATTATTATTATTAATTTTGTCTTAAGTGAAAATACCTAATCGGGGGAAATTTTTTTTTTTTTTTTTTTTTTTTTTTTTTTTAGGAAATAGATGGTAAAGCATTATTATTGTTAAGTTCGGAAATGATGATGAAATACATGGGTTTAAAATTAGGTCCGGCATTGAAAATCTCAAACCTAGTCAACAAAGTTAAAGGAAAACGACATTCGTTGTGATTTCCCTAATTTATTTTTTTAGTATACAAAAAATAAAAGAAAAGAAAAGAAAAAAAAAAATGGCGTACATATGTAAATATTTGATTAAACTTTTTAAATTTCAATTTATGAGGCAAGTATTAGTATATATATATATATGCATTTTTTTTTTTAAATATAAAATTATTTTTAAAAATCAAAATTTTTCACATTTCCTTTTGATTTTGTTTTTTAGCCCATAAATTATTAAGAAGAAAAGCACAATAAAAAAAAAAAAAAAAAAAAGGAAAAAGTTCTCCAATTTTTATTTAAATGAGAGAGAGAGAAGAAACAATTTAATAATATATAATTATTGGTAAAAAAGAAAAAAAATTTTTACCAATAAATACAAAACTATTTGTTTGTTTGTTTGTTACTATATCCAATTTTAAAAAAGAAAATGAAGATGAAGAAAAAGTTAAATAGAGAAGAAATTTGAAAATGTTTTGATTTTAAAATAAAATTATCAAAACAATTTATTTTTTTTTTTTTGTATAATTATATATATATATATATAAATAATATAGGGTTAATTTTTTGTTGATTATTAATTAGAATTGTTTAGAATTTTTTTTTTTTCCGGTTTTTCTTCGAAAAAATTAAAAATTTTCCCCCAAAAATAATAATAAAAAAATTTGAATTTCAGAAAATGAGTTTTTTTTTTTTTTTTTTTTTTAATTTAAGGTTTATTTAAAAAATAAAATATATATATATATACAAACCGTTTTAAATTATTATTTAAATATATATAAAAAATTTTTTCTATAAATTTCATTTCGTGAAATAAAAAAAAAACAGCAGATCTACGATACCAACATACGAAATTTAAATCGTTTAAATCCGAAATACATAAATAAAAAATTACCCGCGAAAATACGATTTTAAAAAAATTTAAAAAAAATTTTTTTTTTCTCCCCCTCCCCCCTTTAAAAAAAAATTATTTATAATTAAACCATACTCCTAATAAGTTAGTTAGTTAGTTAATAAGTTTTTAATTTTTCAATTTCTTCGGGATCTTTTGGACAGGACGATGTAAGAACTATGGGACCGTTGTTCGTTATTAATATGTCGTCTTCTATTCTAACACCGAATCCCCGATATTTCGGATCCGCATATTTATTATCGTGATTAATGTAAAGTCCTAAAATAAAAAAGGAACGTGATGCCGTGATGGTGTAAGGTTACGAACCTGAATATTAAATGTATCAAGTGTAAAATAAATACGGACCCGGTTCGATTGTAAAAACCATTCCTGGTTCTAAGGGTATGTGTCGTGGCACCGACGAAGTATCGTGAACGTCCATACCTAGATAATGGCTGACGTGATGAGGGCAAAATAAAGAAACGCACTAAAAAAAAAAGGGTAAAACAAAACATTTTTTTCTTTTTTCGTCAAACCGATTCTCGAAATTAAATTGTTTATAACTTAAAAACTTAACCTTGTGCATTTCATCTTCGGGTAATTTATTCGAAACGATTCCGGATTCTTTTAATCCATTAGCTAATAAAACAATCATGGCTTCGTAAAGTTGATTAAGCGTGGGAAATTCATTGCATAATTCTATCAATTCTTTTTGAACGTAATAAACGACTTCGTATAGGGTACGTTGAATCGGTGTAAATTTTCCGGATATCGGCCACGTTCGTGTAATGTCACTGCAATACCCGTGATATTCGCAACCTTTTCGGTTGATTTTTAAAATCATCGGTTGTAGTATTAGACAGATAGACAAGATCAAACAAGTTATGTATGTAAAATTGACTTACCCGCATCCATTAAAACAAGATCTTCTCTTTCCACCATTTGATCGTTATTAATATAATGAATTATGTTGGCTCGATTACCGGAGGCTACAACCGGAGGATAAGCTAAATATTCTGCACCATTCATTCTGCATTCAAAATCCACTTGAGCTTGAATACTGGCTTCATTAATCGGTGAACTACTATTTATCATTGCATTTTTTATTGCTTTGGATGCTATTAAACAAGATTGTTTCATGAGTTCTTGTTCGGCAACGGATTTATATAATCTAAGTCTGTGAATAAATGGTTTTGGAGATTCCCAAACCTGAAAAAAATTACTTTATGTAAAAAATTAATTTTTTTTTTTTTTTTTTTTTTTCGGTACAAAAAATAAACTGTAATACGATTAATAAAATTTATTATGCAGAAGCAGTGAAGATTTTTTTCTTATAGTTTTCATAAAGTTTTAAAAGCTTTAAATCAAATTGTGACACACTGAACATGATGAACGATTATTATTTTAGGTGCGTTCGCTTTAAACTTATATAAGCACCTAAATTCGAATAGAAATCAAAAGAATAAATTCAAAAAGTTTTTGTTTTAAAAACTTTTTATAAGATATTGATTATTCGATTTACATTACCTACTCGATACATAAAGAAACATGAAATTGAAAGATCGATTTATAAAGTAAAGAAAAAATTTCAATTTTTAAAATCACCAAAATATTAAATTTTACTGATAACGAACGCACCTTTACCTTTAGGATAAGTTTTCTCAATCTTCTTCACTGCATCTGAATTTGATTTCTATCAATTACTGCATTCAAAACTTTATCGAAAGGTACAAAAAGTTAACACAATTCAATCATGGAATTCTTACTGCAATTATCAAAATTTTTTATTATTGTAAATTCTTAAGTGAGAAATGTTCACATTGGAAAGTTATTAAAAATGTCAAATGAGAAATTTTATAAAAATTTAAAAAATATATTAAATTTACCTTATTCCAGGATTGTGTTAAAAATTTTTGCATCATTTTGTGAACTTTCGGATGAATTTCCGATATGTAGTCATACCACAGCATGCAATCCCTATTTTGCTTAATTAAATAATGTGTAAAATCTTCAAATTCGTGTAAAGGCAATGATTTATCTACTCCGAATAACTCTACAGCTTGATTAACACCTTAAAAAAAAAAAAAGAAAGTACATTTAATGATTAATTAAAAACTCAAGCTCATGAACTCAAGTTTTATTTATTATTAATTAAAAAATAATTTAAAAAAAAACATTTATTGATTTGTTTATTACCAGTTCTTGGTCCGTCCCATAGTTCAGAAGCTGGATCTTTACCTCTCATAAAAATTATACTTTCATAATTATCATTTTGACTAATTAAAACCAAAATGCTGTCTGGCTCCATACATCCAGTTAAATAAAGAAAATCTGAATTTTGCCGAAATACATAAGGTATCTTTTCAGTCATATATTTTTTATAAGATGAAGGAACGACAACCATTAATGTTCTATTATTAAAGCCATTTTGAACACAAAACGATTTCATACTTTCAATAAGTTTGGCTCTTCTTGCTTTAAGTTCTTCAAGTTTGATTCCTGGTATAACCTAAATTTAAAAAAAAAAAAAACAAAACAATTATTTTATTTTTAAATTTAATTAACATGAAATCCAAAAAAATTGTAAGCAAAAAAAATGATTTTACCTCCCCCTCCAATATTCTGTGGGGATGTGTGTTATGAGTAGGCTGCCCAAAATTGTTCAGGATATTATCTGAAGGATTGGGTATAGTTTTAATTTGTCTTTGAAAAATTTTATTATGAGTATATCTAGATAATAAAGGTATGTTTTTTTTATACAATACTTTGCTTCCTAAAAAAAAGTAAAAATTCGAATCATTAAAATAAAATAAAAATATAAATCGTCAAAATTATTGTAATTGCAACTGCAAAACAATTTTTTCTTATATGATAAGGTAAACTTTTCAACCGATTTTTAATTGATTTAAAAATCAAAATTTTTAATGACAAACCTGAAGAAAAAAAAGAAAAAATAAAACTAGTACTGTGCATTTTGATTTAAACATTTATTTTACAATTAATTATAATAAAAATACGCAGAAATTTCGTAAAAACTAAACGCCAAGGCTTCTCCATAGACTTTCGATAAGATTTGCAGTCATGTTTTGTCTTTAGCCACGATCATCTTATTTATCTATGTCGACTTTTTTTCATTAGTTTTTTTACTTCATATGAAAAAAATTAAAATTTATGGACAAATATTCTTGATGAAGTATTCGTAAATTAATTTTAATTAACTAACTTAGTAAAAAAGGTTAAAAAAATTAAAATAGAATTTTATGACAAAGGGTTAAATTTAAAAAATTTTTTTATTTATTGATTGTTTTTATTTTTTTTTATTTACATTAATTAAATATATATCAGTAATATTAATAGTATATCATTAGTTATATATGTTTAAATTCACACATTTAGATTAGATATTCACGTTACATTTATTTAAATTACCACATAGATTCATAAATACTGAAGTAAATGGTACAATAAATTATAAGTTTTTTTTATGACATATAGTTTAAAAAAAAAAAAAAAAAATGAAGCTTTGGTCCCAATTTAAATTAAAGTACAACTGCTCTTTTCACGGAAGGGGTTGGCTTTTTGAGAACTAAAGCCAACTATGAGACAATCATCCCTTTGGTGTTCTGAAATGAACTTGATCATATCTTGCACTGCTTGAGAGACGGCTATTCTTTTTACTGCTGCCTCTCGCCTAAGTTGTTCAGTAACTTGGCGTTGCTGCTGTAGGTTGGATATCATCATGTCCATTATAGCTGTGTCTGACAGGCCTATTGTTGGGCGTGGTTTAAAACTTTAAACAGTAAAATACTGAGATAGACTCAATAATAACTAAGAAAAGCTTAGATAAAACTTTTCTTAGGTCAATAAGTAATATAGCAAAAACCAAATATTATTTAAAATTCAAAAATTATATAACACAAATGTAAAACTGTATTGACAATATATTCTTCTGTGAAACTTTAATTATGGCAATGTTGCTAAATTTCATTTTGTAACGCTCATTAAATGGCGACGAATCATAAAGAGTAATTTTAATGTAGTTATTAAGATTAATTTTAGATTGATTTTCGCAAGCAAAACTAATAAAATACACAAAAAATAAAGTTATTAATTATAATTTAATATAAAAATACTATATAATAAAAAAATTTAAACAAAAAAAAAAATTGTCGCAATTTTGACAAATCCATAGAGATAAATTTTACTGGCGGTGAAAACAGTTGAATTGTTTAAATTTTGACGAAATAAAATCAAAATTTTTATTGACTCAACAGTCAAAAAATATTTACCATGACTACCTACAGGGTACGTAGCATAATCATTATTTTTTCTTTTTGAAAAATAACAAATATAGGAACTTTTAAAAATAAAATTTTATTTAACAGTTTTGTAATTTATATCATTCTTTTATTAGCCTATTGATTCTAAACGTGAAGAATTCAGAAAATATTTAGAAAGAGCAGGCGTTATGGATGCTCTCACCAAAGTACTCGTCGCTTTATACGAAGAACCTGAAAAGCCCGTGGATGCAATGGAGTATCCTTTTTTAACAAGTAGTACCTTGTCGATGCAAGTTAGAACACAAATTTTCATATTACAAGCAATGTTAATTTAAAAATTTGAAAGTTTTTTTTTTTTTTGTTTTTTAAACTTAATTATTATTTTTTTTTATTTTAAATTGATTAAAACCTTAACTAGTTATAAGTTTTGTAAGGAAAAATTTAGGCGACGATCGCCCAGAAAGATGCGAGTTAGATGCAGCCCTAAATGATTTAGCCGATGCTCAAAATAAAATCGCCGTTTTAGAAGAAACATTACAAGAATTTAAAGCAAGACTTGAAAAATATGAGCCGATTGAAGAAGGCTCCCAAAACGAATAGTTTATTTATACATTCATTAAATATTTCTTCTACAACTATTAACTTTCATTAATACTGCCGAGGTCATGCACATAAAATCAAATTCTTATATATTAATTAATATATAATATTAAATCATGTTTGAAAATAATTATTAATTATAACAACAATTATGTGATTGCAGCTTTAAAGTATTTACTTTCAATATTCAATTTTTTTTTTTAAATTTCAAACTAAATATATTAATTTCTTAATTTAATTTGAATTTATTTATTTATTATACCTTAATTAATTTCACCGATTGCTTTTTAAAAACAAAATTTTTATTTTAAAACCTTTTTCGTATTGTTCATTTCTCTAAATCCATTAAATTAAAAATATTAATCAAATAGTTATCGAGAAAAAAATGCATTTTTGTTTACTTTTAATAATTATTTTTCAAAACTAACTGCATTGCTTTCAGCCGCAAATATTTAATTACTCTTCGGTGATTTATTAAATTATAATTTAATTTAATTAATTTGTTAGTGAAAAAAAATTAAAATTTTTAAAAATAAATTAGTGACATTAATAAAAGAAGAAGAAGAAGAAGAAGAAGCGAAAAACCCTTTTTTAAAAACTTATTTTTTTCAAATGAATAATGATGCATTTTAAAAAAAAATTTTTTTTTTTTAACGAAAATATTTTATTAAAAATGTACAAAAGTAACAATGGAAGAACTTTTTATTTTATCGCATTTGGGATGTTAATTAAAATTTTTTTTTTTTTAATAAATTTTAAAATAATTTAATAATTCATTTTAAATGTTTGATATATGCCTATTATAGATGATACTGTACCCAAAAAACCAACTTGTTTTTGATTTAAATATTCAGCCCAAAGTACACCTCTGGGTAAATAATTTACTGCAAACATTATATCAATAACATACCTTGTTAATGTCATTTTCAAATTCCAAATTTCCTTCGATTGATTTTTAACTGCTCCACTAAATTAAATAATTTAAAACAAAAAAAAATCAATTTATTATTCACATTTAAAAAAATAAATTAATACATGACTATTTATTATAACTTACCTGTTTGATTTAACATGTTCAAAGGCTTTTTTATGAGCAGATATGTTAATTAGTTTTTTAAAAACTTTTATTATACCTATATATAATGATAAAACCCAACAATAAGTTCCAGCTGTATCCCATACAGTTGTAGGAGGTTTAATAATTCTATTATATTCTGCCCATGTTAAACTATCTAAAGGGCAAAAAAGTAAATCGACAATATTTTCAAACAAATCAATCAATTTTTCATTAATATTTCTGTTGTCCTAAAAAACAAAAGTTTTAAAATGACATTTTACTTATTATATATATATATATAAAAAATATAAAAAAATTTTCATAACTTATAAAAAGTTATTTTATTAAACTATAAACCTTTTCTTTAGTATTCTCTCTCCAAACTCGAACGACTGTCGGAAAACCATCCAACAATCTAAAACAAGCTCTCGAAGAACTCAGTTGTGTACTAAATTCATTAAAATTGAAAGACAATTCTCTTGAATTCAAAGAGCCGGCAATGAACTTTGAAAAGTAGGACAAAAGCCTAAGCACCATATCTCTACCTTTATAAGTTACCAAAAATGATAGCGTTTTGTCCATATTGAACTATTAATTATTGATTTCCTAAAAAAATAATAATAATTATATTAATAAAATTAAAAGATTCATATATATATGTTAAAATTTGATGTATTTATTTATTAAAATAAAGAAGACTGTCAATTTTTCAGAATAATGACATCGAATAAAAATTTACTTAAATTTTTATTACTACACAGTAAAATTTATATTGTTCCAGTCTGAATAAGAATTTTTAACAAATTCCAGAAGAATTTCAACAAAAAAAAAAATTAATTATTTCTTATCTTATCATGTATTTATTGAAGTGAAAGGTATTAAAATTAAAAATCACAAGGCCTCTTAAATATATTATTATTATTATTATTACTGACCTAAATTATCTTGTTTTAAATATTAAAAAAAATAATATGAATTAAATATTAATTATTTAAAATACTCACTATCATAAATATTATTAATAAAATAAAATAATCGAAGCAACCACATAACTTTTCTAAAATTTCTGATTTATATATTCTTGTGAAATTTGTCATACATAAACAAATTGCATATACTTGGATTGTATCGAAAACATTTTTGACATACGTTTTGATTATATAACAAGTAAATTTTGTAAATACGTAAACAAATAATCACTTAAAATTTAGAAATCATTATTAACCGTAAAAGATTTATGGAAAAAAAAAAAAAATTTTATCCCTTTCCTATTCTAATGTTTGACATTTTGGCCTTCAACCATATTGTTTAATGAAACAGGGAATTCGACTGTTAAATTGTTTTCTAGCAAATTTTAAGGCTTATTAAAATATTTAAGTTTTAAAACTAACGGTTTTATGTTTTGTTTTGTTTTTTTTCTATTATTAAGATATTAATTTTTTATTTTTATATCTTCATTTTGAATATTGATTTAAAATATAACTCTAATACTTATTTATCTTATATTTCTTGTAATAAATTTCAACTGATGAATAAACATTTAAAAAAAATTGTGTGAACTTTGTTAAATGGTATTACTTGTGTTAAAATGAAAATTGACATTTAAATTTTTTTTAGCAATCTCAGAATAATAAAAATTATGAATTAATAATAAATTTATTTCTTAAATAGTTTAATGTGGAACAAACTTTATTATTATGCATCACTGTCTTTCGAGACAAAATTTAAAAGTTTTTTATTAGGTTTGGCTTGTGGTGTAGGAATCTGTAGTTTGATTAAATTCAAATTTGATGACACTTGTAAAAAAATTTTAGATGAAAAGAAGAAAAAAACTAATTTCGATTGCGATTGTATTTTATTCGTACCAAATAATATATCGTCGGAAAATTGTTATTTAAAGGAAGATTACTTTTGCGGTCGTTTGGCTTGTTCGTTTTGCAATTTCAATAAGTTTTTGAAAGTGTTAAGTAAAGCAACATATTCATTAGATATTTGTGTCTACCTGATAACCTGTAAAAAAATTTGTGACATAATTAAAAAATTATTCGATGAGGGTGTAGCTGTAAGAATTATAACAGATAAACAAATGTCATTCGAAGGTAAAGAAAACAAGTGGAGTTTTTTTTTAAAAGAACACATACCGATTATTTTTATGGATGCTTATGACATAATGCACAATAAGTTTGTTATAATAGACAAAAAAATATTAATAACCGGTTCATTCAATTGGTCAAATCATGCATTTCAAAGAAATTGTGAAAATGGTATCATTATAAGAGATAATAAAATAGTTACACAATTTTTACAATACTTTGATTGTTTATGGTCGAATCATGGGAAGTAAATTATAACCTATTCAAATTAAACTACTATCGATATTTTGTTCTGATTTCAATAACCCCCCCCCCTTCCCCAATTTTAAATTTTCGATAATGCTAAATATAAATTGAAGAAATTTTTTATAACTTGAATATTAAATTTATTCGTTAATAATTACCTTTGCTGCTATTATTAAAAAAAACTTGATCGCTTATTGAAAAATTATAAAAATATAATAAAAAAAAAAAAATTACAGAACTAATAAAAGCTTTACAGTTTTTGTTTTCTTGGAAATTCATATATAAATGAAATAAGAAAAAGTAATTAATGTAAAATCTTAAAAAAAATTTTTTTTGTTAATTAGTAACAACCATCAATCAACAAGTCAGTATAAATTAAAATTTTTTTAAATTACTTCGCATGTTTTTTTTATATAATTGGAAACATTTAATTTGCCATTATCTGACTTTGATATTTTTCTTTTTTTTTTTTTTTTCTTACAATGTTTTTTAGATATGTAATTAATTATTTGAAATCCAGAATCTGAGGATTTGGGATCCTGAATTGAATTCAATATATTTTTATTATTTATATCATTTATTATGTTACCCTTTTTAAATTCTCCAATAATTTCAATCTCATCATCTGTCGAGTCATTACTAATATTTAATATTTCACATTCCGATTCGCTTATATCGATTATTTCATTATTTTGACTAGAATTATTATTGTTTGATGTTTCTCCGCATGAAAAATTGTTTACATTCGAATAATACCTTGAAGTTTTTTTATTAAAAAATTCTAAAAACAAAAAAAAGAAGAAAAGAAAAAAATCATTTTTGTTATATATAACTAAGTAATAATAATTAATAATACATATAATTATATTATGTAAAGTAAAGAAAAACTTTTCTTGTAAAATTTACCCTATTTTATGTTCAAAATTAGACAAATTTTTAAATAAAACAGATGGATAATTAATCAAATTTAAATTTAAATTTACCCTTAAAAATTTTCCTTCATTTTCCTTTTTTTCGAAAAAAAAAAAAAAAAAAATGAAAATGTAAGGTTTTAATAAAAATGAATAAATAAAATATTTACAATTAGTCAATTTATTATGAATTATGCATGCTTAAATGCAAAATGTGAAAATTACTATGTCAAAGTTATAACAAAAGATAGAATTTATAAATGTAAAAAAAAATTTTTTAATTTACAACGAGTAAAAAAAATTTGTTAAACAATAGCATTTTAACAAAATATTTGAAATAATGTAAGATGATTACATTAAAATTTTCAACGAAAACCAAGTGGGTAATTATAGTAAAGCTTTAAAATAAAATTTCTGGGGTTAAAAATAAAACAATTATACTTTTAAAACCAAAAAAGTATTCGACATTTTGAAATGTAAATAATGTAAAAATTTTTCATAACTCACCTTCCTCTTTATTTGAATTACTTTCTTGAAAATCTTCTTTATTGTTCAGACATTTAATTACAATGGAGGAATTGTAATCTATTTCTGCAATAAAAAAAATTTTTTTTGTAAATCGTAATAAATAATGCAAACTTTAAACATATGAGTATCAAAGAAAACAAAGTTTTCAAATACAAAAAAAAAAAAAAAAAAATTTTAATTTATACAAAAAAAACTTACTTTGTTTTTTATCACAAACCAAAACTTCCACCTCTGTTGAATGTTTTCTTTTTCCTCTTTTATTTTTCGAAAGTTTCGATGAACTTGGAATGTTTTTAGAAAAATCATTTGAACTAAATAAATAAATAAAAATGTTTGTTATTTTTTTTTTTTTTTTTTTATAGAAAATAATATATTTGTACATCAGTTTATGAAATATTACCTTAGAGATATATTTTTTTTAGAATAGTCATCATTATTTTTGTTTAATATTTTGGCACAAATATTACATTGCCATTCAGGATCAGAAAATTTCAGTCTTCCACAATTAACATGAATACCTTGAGAGCCGCATGTGTTACATAATATTATTTGCCAAATACTAAAGAAAAATAATAAAATATTTATTTCTTAAATAAAATCATAAAATGTCTAAAATATTGAAAGTAAACTTAAATAAAATAACATACGTGCTTTCGACATCTTTTTCCCTACCATCTGGACATTTACAAACATCTGCATCACATTTATTGTATTTGAATAATAATTCTTCATATGCATTTGGAACAAGCTCCCATGAGGCATCTCTAATTAAAAAAAAATTTTTAATTAACTTATTAAGTTTTTTTATTAAAAACTAATTCAGACATTAAAAATAAAAATTTTTAAAAAAATACATTACCTTTTCGGAATGAAAACACCAAAACGAAGCATCCATTGTTTAAATTTACCACTGTCATTACAAATAGCACACTTAAATAAATATCCAGCACTATTGGCAAGTTTCTAAAATGAATAATAAAAAATTTATTAGTTCTTATTTTTTTTATATTAATCGAGCAAAACAAATAATAAAAAACATATAGTAAATATTGAAAACTATAAACGGTATCCATTAAATGTAACTAAATACAAAATTTGCGAGTTTCAATCTTTGTATTTGAAATAAGAAATCAATAAAACAAAATAAAAAAAAACCTACCTGAATACAAAATTTGTGATACCAAGTTTTTTTACAGCAAGGAGCCCATAAAACATTATCAAATTTGTTTGAATTATCAAATTTAATAGAACTATAGCAAATGGAACAAAGTATTTTACCAATTGATTTGTAATATTTTTGAGGAATTTTTTGTATAGGTTTGTGTAGTGAACAAAAATTATTAAAAGAACCATAAAACTGGCTCATTGAATTATTTTGTATTCCACAAGGAAGATGAAATATTTTTCTACATTTTTTGTAACAACATTTAAGGGTTGCATAACCTTTTAAACAATAAACGCAAATATTATCGGCACTTTTTTTATGCAATTCTTTAATATCTTCCTCTAGAAAACCTAATAACCCTTCATTATCATTTCCCCTTTGGAGAATATCATTCGACAAAAGCTGAAAATTTAAATTAAAAAAAAAATTTACAAAGTGATATAATTATATGTTACTAATAAAAATTTTTTTAAACCCATACCACACAATAATAATGTGCGTTAATATTTTCTATGGAATGAAGTGGACCATATTTAATATCACAAGTATTTTTCTCCTTACAAAAACAACACAATTTCAAACTTTTTGATACTTTCACCTTATCCATTAAAAATTTTTTGAAATAGAAACTTTATAAACCTAAAAACAAAAAAAAATATACACACTATTTATTAAATAATTGTGAAATAACAATAAGTAAACAAATATCTTACATTAATGAATGAAAGTATGTTTTTACAAAGGTATTTAAATTAATTTTAAATATATTAATTTTGTTTGTAAAAAAAAAAATAAAATAAAATAAAATAAAAAATAAAAATTATTTCCTATTTTACTAATAAATTATTTACGTTGGCATTTAACAGTCGTTTTTTTAACTTGTCACACAGATAATTTGTGGATGATTATAAAAATCTGTTGAATTTTAAAAAATAAAAAAATAAAAAAAGAAATTATTATAAAAAAAAAAAAATATTATTTAATATGAGAAGTTTGCAAAATTGAAAATTAATTTTTTGATAAACTATAAATAAAAGGAGTTTCCGTTAGATTAAATAATACAAATCAAAAATTCAACCCATTTGTAAGTCAAATAAAAAGTAAACATCTCTTAACCGTAGCAAAAAGTTTTTGCACGAAAATAATAATAATAATAAATTTTAAAAACTTACAAGTTTGTAAATTAAAATAAACAAATATACAACTGGCTACAAATGAAAATTTATCGTTTTACATTATTTTATAATTAAAAGTACAATAATAAATAAATTTTATTTCAGTTTGCAAATTTTTATTGCTGCTTTTTTATTTTTTTTTTTACACTTAAAAAAAAAATTAATAGTTATTATTTTTAATTTTAAAAAGATTACTTTCAATGAATTAAAAGTATATATTTAAATAGTTAAGGTTTTGGAGAAAAAAAAAAATTCTAATTTAAAAATAAAAAAATATTTTCATTTTTTTTTATTTTAAAAATAATATTAATATTAATCGGATTTTCTCAACAATTATAATGCGGGACTAGATTAACTAAAAACCAGGATTCCAAGAAGTTTTTTGTGGAACTTGATATAATTCATAGCAAATGATTTTATCTGAGGGTTTGAATTCAGAAGCGAGAGAATCAAATAATAATCCGCATTCTGCATTTGTACGAATTGTACCGACTTCATTTTTGAGATGTTTCATTGATAACAATTTTCCTAGAAGTAAATAAGAATGATCAAAATTCAGTTTCAAAATGTTAATAATCAAAATTTAAAATTATTTACTAACCCTCAAATATTATTTCATCATTTCTGACAATTCTAAACAATGCATCTTTTTTGAGTTCACCTTTATTACATTTACAACCGGCAACTGGAAGTTTTTTCTTTTTGTTCATATATGTTACGAAAAAAACTTGTAACACTTCTGCTTCTCCTAAGTAAAAAAAAAAATTGTTTTTTTCTTCAAAATTAAACAAATAATTAATTCAAATTTTTAAAAATAAAAACAAATTATACCTAATACTCTTTCACAATTTTTCATTGGTAATCTGGATGATATTTCATCTTTTAAATCGTCAATCATTTTATAGATAACATTATGCTTTCGAATATCGACTTTTTTCGTTTTCACAATATTTTTTAAATCGTCATTTAAGTCAACATTAAAGGCATATATGATAGCTAAAAGTTAAATTTAACATCTTTTGTTTATTAATAACTTTGAATGTGATTAATAAGTAAAGAAAGAAATATATTTAGTGGTTAATGTACACTACCGTTAAAAGTTTCAGCAAGCTCAACATCTTTAAGAGTGATTTTACCAACGGAAGAACTTACTATTGAAAGCTCACATTCATCATTTTTGTCATATGTGTCAAAAATTTCTTGAATGGCTTCTATACTTCCGTGAACATCACCTTTAATGAAAATGTTTAAAATTATAAATTAAGTATATTTTTATTTATTGAGATTATTATTTAGAAAAATAAAAATATCATTCATTACCTTTTATAATTACACTAAGGGAAGGCATAGAATTAGCTTTAAGGATTTTAGATTTTTCATTTTCAATAACCTCTTGTTTCAATAGCCAATGTTCCTTGGAGGAAGATATTTTTTTCAATTTTTCCTTGAAATTCATGAATTCTAATTTTTGCAACCTTTGCTTTTCTTCTATAATTTCTGATTCTAATTCTTGTTGTTCTTTTTTATTTTTTTGTTCTACATGTTTAATTAATTGATTGGCTATTTTCTAAAAAAAATTACATATATATTTACTTCGAAAATAAAAAGTCTTTTTGTGAAAAAAAAAAATTTTTAGAAAAATATTTTTTTTTTTTGTTGTTGAAAATAACTCGATATTTACAACAGATTCTACTTCGAAAACTTCATCTCCTGCACTAGGCAATTCTTTCCATCCAGAAATTTGAACTGGAGTCGATAAAGATGCAGATGTGAGGTGATTTCCATTTTCATCAAGCATTGACCTTGTTCTACAATAGGTTTTGCCACCAAACAATATTGTCCCTTTTTTTAGCGTTCCTTTTTTTACCAAAATGGTGGCTTGTGCTCTAAATGCAATGTATAAAAATAAAGTCTTATAATTCTGCACTAATAAAAACAAGTTTAAATAAATATATTGAGGTTGATTACCCTAAATGGCTAACTTTAGTTTCAAGTATAACACCCTCTACAGAACCCGTTGGATCTCCCGTCAAATTCATTATCTCAGCTTCAGTCAAAATCATGTCTATTAAGAGATCTAAATTAATTCTTTTAAGAGCAGAAATGGGAACGATTTGTACATCACCTCCTTTGTCTTCAACTTGAATTCCCTCTTCGAGTAATTTCTCTTTAATTAATTCCTTAAAAACAATTTTTTTGAAATAAAGGAATTTAAAAAAACATGAAATTATTTGCAGTAGTATATCAAAAATTACTTACAATATTTAAAGCTTTTGCCTTATCGATTTTGTTTACAGCTATAATAGTTCTCACTAAAAAAAAGATTATTTTTAAAAAGAATAAT